GGGGGGGCATTCCGGGCTTTATTCCAAGAACAAAGGGAATAGAGGGGAAGCAAGTGGGGGCACAGGAGAGCCACAAGAGAGGACAGTAGAGCAGAGTGGTTAACAGCATGGAGCCGGACAGCCTGGGTTCAAATCTCAGGTCTGCCACTTACTTGTGACCAAGGTCCAGGTTAGCTAACCTCTCTGTGCCTCAGTCTCTCCCTCTGTAAAATGGAATAATAATAGTGCCTATTTCAGGGGATCATCACGAGAATTCAATGATAAAAGCCTGGTGCAAACTGAGTAAGGAGGAATTGCTGACGTGAGCGGGCTGAACAGGAGCAAGCCTGGACTCTCCCCCACCTCCAGACAGCCATTCATTGTGGGTGCTAAGGGCTGTTGGCACCCAGGAAAGTTCTGGCTTCTCTAGTGGCTGCCACTTTGAAGACGAGAGTCTCTTGGCCTTGGATGACCATTCTGGCAGCACTGTCCTCTGGCTCTGGCTGTCCCATGAGCTCCACGAAGACAGGGACCATGCTCACCCTATACCCCAGGGCTGGCTCAGGGCTGGCACAGGGCCCACACATGGGGTGTGCTCCATACCCTTTGGAAAAATGGATTTTGAATGAATGAACGCATGAACAGGTGGATCTGTGGAAGGATACTCACACTCTCCATGAATTAGTGAGCACTCCTTCCGTGCAGGCGCCTACTAAGTGCCTCACATAACTCATTCCGTTTCCCTCTCACCACCGTCTTGTGAGGAGGCTGCTAGGAGACACTTTCCGTAGGAGACATCTCGAGAGTGCGTTCTCTGTGGGGGACCCTGGTCATACTTCACGGAGACCAATTATTGAGAAATGCATTTAATAGGTAGCCCAAAAGAAGGGCTTTTTCCTAGAAGTTGGGATCCTGGAAGCAGGAATTCAACTGGAAAGCAAGCTATGCTGACAGTCGTTTCTCTAAAGATCTAGCCACAGACCCTCTATAGCAAGGGTCTCAGATCTCATCTTCCTGAGCAAGGCACAGGGCGATGGGTCGCTTCACCTGTTTTTGGAGGGAGAAGTGGTGCATCCTAGCAAGGCAGAGTGCCCCCACCCCCGTCACAGCCTGGTGGAGCTCAGAGCAGCCTCTGACACACACCATCTCAGAGAGCACAGAGAGCAGATCAAGTGGAAAGGCTGTGGGAGACCTGCCTTTGGTCTTCCCCTGCCGCTTGGCTTCCAGCCAGAGTCCCACACACACCCTCCTGCAGGCCTGTTCCCCCAGGGAATGCTTGCGCTCTGAGTCCCTGCTGCAGGCTCACTGCAGCTCAGCCCCAGGCCACCCCTCCTTCCGGCACGGCACAGCGCTGGTGCGAGCTACCCCTGCCCCCAGCTACCCCTGCCCCGGCAGCTCTGCCAGCCGGCTCCTCCAGAGACTAGTGTTTTGGGAGAGTGCTGAGTTCAGCACTGCTGCGAGGTGCAGTCCGCAGCATCCTTCTGTCCTCAGCCAGCCCTCCAGAGCGGCCCTGGGGGCCCGGGTGGCCCTCCCTACGTGCAGCAGTCCCTCCTACACGAGTCTCTATGTCCAACCACACCCACCACCCACCGACAGCCCCGAGGCTGTCATGGCAGGTGGCGGAGGAACTGCGGGTGGGAGAAGCAGAGCTGTCCAAGGGGCATGGCCAGCCAAACTCCTACTTCTAGAAAAACAACTAAGGTCAGGCTCTCACAAGCACCCCCAGAACCTGCCCCCAGCCTAAAGCCTGGGGTCATCAGCTTCCCAGGCCTCAAAGCCAAAGGAGCAGGCTGGCCCTCAGCCAGCTGACCTCAGGCGGAGGGAGCGTGGGGGTGCAGGGCACACAGCAGTGCCGAGAGGTTACATAAGCACCTCTGTTTGCAGCCTGCTCTTTGCCCTGGCAACCAGGACTAGAGTGACAGCAAAGCCCTGCTCTGACGGAGGAGGGGCCTCAGCCAGGACTGCAAATCGAGTCCAGCTTGGAGTAGGCCCAGGTCCTCCCAAGGTGCTTGTGTCCGGGTGGCGGATTAGCTGCCGGAGCCCAGGCAGCTGCCCGCCCTTCTCTCTCTGCTTATCGGAGGTCTCTGTCCCACCAGGTGGGCCCCTGGGGTAGGGTGTGAGGGATGGGAAGTGTACCCCAGCAGAGGGCCCGTCAGCTCTGAAGGTTCCTTCTGTTCCAGGTGCCCATGGGCTGGAAAATGAGCCTGGCCATGGCAGCCCTGCTTCTGGGTCTTACGATGGTGGTGACAGAAGACGAGGAGGAAAATGACCCGTGCGTCTACGAGGCCCTGTCTGACAATGATGCTGTCCTCTGCAAGTAAGGCTAGCAGGACCCCACACAGCAACCGGGTGGGTGGAAACCAGAGAAGAGGTCTCAGGGAGGGGTGTTTCCAGAACCAAGGAGCACTGTCTCCTAAGGCAGCCTTTGTGGACAGGCAGAAAAGAAGGCAGCTCTGGAGACCACCTTGATGGAGGACGGCATTGGGGGAAGGACTTTGAGACGGGCTCCTGCCTTCCATAGGCAGTTCTCCCAAGACCAGGAGGCTCCCCCGGGGCCTCCAAACTTGAGGCCCCTGTGGTGCTGGCCTCACCCTCCCTGCTGGGACCCCAAGAGAGACCATCCCTCCCTACAGCCCGGAATGCTCCCTCCCCCCAACAAAGTGGCCGTTGTAAAGAAATGTGGCAGTTGACAGAGGGAGTGTGATTGGACCCTCCGTGGGTGAGAGGTGGTGGTTTGCTTTTTGGTAATGAGGCCCCGGAAGTGTCGGGACAGGCAGGCCTTTTAGGGAGTGAGGTCACTGGACGTTGTCCAGAGCAGAAGCTGGGTTCGGAGGCTGTCCTCTTCCCTCCTCAGGGCACGAGCTTCTCCCGCTCTGCATCGAGGTCCAGCCCTCTCCTCATGACTGTTGGTTAGAAAGGCCAGTCCTAATTGTCCTGGCCTCGTGGGTCATCCTGAGAGCTGCCCAGGCCACTTTGCTGCCAACCCCCTCTGCCAGTCTGGTGGCCAAGGTGGCCGCATCCCGCTGAAGCCATCGGAAGTGAGGGGAGGAAGAACTCTCACGTCTTACTCCGTCTTCTTGCGTACATTTGAATGCTACAGACACTACTTTCAGAAAGATAAATAAACGCTTTCCCTTAAAAAGTTAGGTAGTTGAATCCAAAAAATAAAATAAAATAAGTGTTGTTTCTATCACTACGTTTTTAAAACTCTAGCGAACAGTTCCGAGTGAGGTTTGTGTGGGCGCAGGAGGGAACGCGGCTGCGTCTCTCATGTGGGCGCCCGTCCTCCAGGTGCTCTGCTGAGTGGAACCTTCCGGGCTCAGGACGGCTTTTTACTCTGGTGGTAGAAGGTCAAGCCCCACGAGCTGAGAGGTCAGCTGGGCCAGGGCAAGGCAGGGGCAGGCCACGAGAAGAGCCCATTATGGGGGCCCACTGCGCTTCCCATGTTCACTGTGGGACACATAGAAAATGATCCTCTGTGTATGGTCACTGGAGGTGACCTGGGCCCAGCTGCCCTTGGCTCTGCCCTGCGAAGGTCCACATGCTGGCACCCTGGTGGCCTGTCTCCGTGGCACACGTGGGAGCTCTGGGCACCTGTTACATGCTTTAGACTCCTGGACTTATTCCATTGTTATCAGGAACCCACCAAACAGGTATTCTCATCCCCATCTTGCAGCTGCCCACAGTGCTTACACAGCTGACAAGAGGCAGAGGGGCATTCAACCCCCCTTGTCTGGCGCTACACTCACGCTCTTCCCCCACCCACCTCCAGCTGCTGACCCTCCTCCAGGGCCTGGAGCTTCTCAAACTCCGGTAAAGGGGGGCTGTGTTAGTCCATTCTGGCTTCTATCACAAAATACCATAGACAGGGGGCTTACAAACCATAGACATTTATCTCTCACAGCTCTGGAGGTTGGGAAGTCCAAGATCAAGGTGCCGCCAGATTCTGTGGCTGGTGAGAACCTGCCATAGAACCTTCCTGGTTCATAGATGGCTGTCTTCTCGCCGTGTCCTCACACAGTGGAAGGGGTGAGAGAGCTCTCTGGGGACTGTTTTAAGCACAGTAATCCCAGTCATGAGGGCTCCACCCTCATGACCTAGGCACCTCCCAGTGGCCCCACCTCCTAATCCCAGCACACTGGGGCTAGGATTTCAACATATGACTTTTGGGGGACACAAACATTTAGTCCATTGCAGGAGCCATTCTCAGGACTCCATAGATTACACCTAGACCCCCCAGTTTGAGAAGCATGGACTTACAACACTAGGGTTGTATGCTAGGACAATGTCTTTTGATTCTAAACCATCATTGCAAAAGGGAAGCTTTGTCTTTATTACTGCTGAAGATTTTTGTTTGTAAAAGACCATCACTGAATGAGAACACCTCATGGACATATCAGACCCCCAAGGAGAGATCAGTACCCCCTGCACTGGGTCCCTCCCCAGGAGCCCTGCTCAGCTCAGGCTTCTGACCTTGCCAAGAGACCCCCCCCAGAGAAGCCACTCCTCTCATGGGCATTTAAAGTCTAATAGAGAATTCTTGTAGTTAGGACTCAATGCCTAAAAATGTTAATCCATAAAGGAGAAATTTTATGTACAGTGACAAGCAGTGGGAAATATTGTTGAGAGAAAAGCTCTTCCAGAATAATACCTCACCTACTCCTGAGAGAAGCCAGACTAGACTGACAACAGCACTGAGAGTCAGAACCCCGGGCTCAAGATCAGAATCAAGAGAACCACAGTCGTCCGACCTGAAGCCAAGGAGTGAGTCCACTCAGCAACCCTCTCCCTGCCGCCCTGCACAAGGGCCCTGGTGGCCTCTCCTCTCCTGGTGACCAGGAGCCGCGTCCCCAAGCCCTGTCCTTTGTGCTGACGAGCTCATCCTCCAGCGAGGGCCTCCTTGTCTCAAGGCAGAGGCTGACTTTCTTTAACTCACCCCTTTCTTCCTAGTTTTGCCCCAGGTGCTGCATCGAACAAGTCTAGTTTCTCTTCCTCTTGATGGTTGTTCAAATGTTTGGAGACAGATGTCATCCCCCCCCACACCTTCGCTTGAAGCTCTTTCTAATCAGGGCATCCACCTCCATCCTTCATGGCTCCTCAGGGGCCTTGGTTCTGGGCCTGTGGGCCTCACCTTCAGGAAGGGTTGGTTGGAGACAGACCTGTTGCTCTTTTCTAAGCATGGCGCCCCACACTTTCACACTGAGAACCACACAATAGAGGGTGGGGGTGCCCCCCGAGTCTCCTCATACCTCTGTGAAGGCAGCCTCATCTCCATGGGCCCTTTTGTCACCCTCTCTTTCAGGCAGCTGGAATTCTGAGCCCTTTCCACAGGTACAGCTGGGGAGCTATTTTTCTCTGATCCAATTCTTACAATGCTGAAGGGACTTAAGTGACATCTAGTCAAATGGAAGCCTGGAGAAACCAAGTGACTCACCCGGGAAGCCGTGTGGTACGGGGAAAGAGCAGACAGCCTCTGTAGCAGTCCTCTGCTGTTGCACAGCAAATCGCCCTGAAACTGAGCAGCTGCACACACTTGTCTTACAGTCTGTCTCGGCATGGCTCAGCTGGGCGTCTCGGGCTCAGGGTCTCTCAGGAAGTTGCAGTCAACCTATTGGCTGGGGCTGCTATCTCATCTGAAGTATGGACTGGTCTGGGGTGGGCTGCCCGGCTTCTGAGCTTACTCATGTGGCTGTTGACAGGCCTTAGTCCCTTGCCTCATGGCCTCACCGTGGGGCCGTTCACAGCATAGCAGCTGGTGTCCCCAGAGTAAGGATCCGAGAGGGAGAGCGTGTGAGAGGGCCTCAAGCAGAAGCCAGTCTTCCTATAACCTAATCTTGGAAGTGACCTCCCATCACCTTGGCCAGATTCTCTCTGTTAGAAGTGAGTCACTCAATACAGGAGACAGGGATCACTGGGCATCTCAGGCACTGCCTACCACACCACATCCCTCTTCTCCGCTCAGTTCACCAACTGTGAGACCCTGGGCTGCTTCCTTGACTTTCTCTGGGCCTCAGTTTACTCACCTGGGAGAGGAGAATAATGATAACAGATGCTTCGAGGAATTGTGGTATGAAAGAAATAGTACGCATGTGATGCACCTGATCTGTTGGGGGGCCCAGTAAATGCCATCCCCCCTGTCCATTACGCAATGTTAGATCATGGCCAAGCTGGGACCAGAGCCTCTGCTCCTTTCTCCTGTCTCTCTCGGGTGCCCCTTGTCCTGTCACGGAGTCCAGGAAATGCCCAAAATCTCGGGATGGAGATTAGAATGTGTCCTGTGTGAGGTACACCTGAACAGGAAAGGCAGTCAGGAAGATGACACAATTCAGCTTTCTGAACTTGAACGCAAGTTTTAAAATGTGTTCTGACTAAATTTAATTTCTTTTTTTTTAATTCATTTTATTTTTTTAATTTTTTTTTTGAGGAAGATTGGCAACAGATGCCAATCTTTTTTTCTTTTTTCTACTCAAAGCCCCAATAGATAGTAGTATATCCTAGTTGTAGGTCCTTCTAGTTCTTCTCTGTGGGACATCGCGTTAGCATGGCCTGATGAGTGGTGAGTAGGTCTGCTCCAGGGATCCAAACCGGCAAACCCCAGGCTGCTGAAGTTGAACGCACAAACTTAACCACTATGCTACCCAGCCGGCCCTTAAATTTAATCTCTGATTCACTTCATCTTGGGCTTGTCCAGATCTTCATTTGGGCCGATTTGATTGTCTGAATTGTTAGTTATCAGCTTTGCATCATACGCGAATCTAATAAATTTGCCTGCCATGTCCTTTTCTAAGCCTTTGACAAAACTGCTCAACAGGATGGAGGCCCACGCGTGCCCTTGGCACCTCCGCTACGTGGAGCAACATGTGGGCTTCCAACGCTAGGCTGGCCGTGCCCTGTGGGTGTGACGGGGGTTGGGGCATGGACCTGATTGCGGTCCCCTGACATGTACCCTGCCAGGGCCTTCTCTGTGGCTTTAGGCCCACTCTCCAAATGGCAGCTGGGTGATTTTGCTTAACTGTTTTAACATTTGCAGCCATTCTGCTGGGATAAAAAGAGGAGACCTATTCATTCCCCCCCGGGAAGGCCCCCTGGCCCTCAGTTTCCCTCCTCTGTGCCCCTCGCTCTTTCCCCGTTCTGTGCTGTGTGCTGAATCTCCATCTCTCTGCCAGTGGAGGGTCCCCTCTCTCGGCCTCATCCGACTAGCTGTAGCGGCAGGGGGTTGTGGCAGAAACAAACCGAACAGTCCTTAAAACGCTGCTGTGAAGAGAAATGAAAACCTGTCCTCCAAAACTTCTTCACTAGTTATTAAAACCATGCCATCCAAAAGGAATTACTGTAAACCTGCGAAGAGTTCAGAGAAACAAGCCAGCTGGCGGGTCAGCTCCTGGCTTCGGGGAACTGCCCTGCCTCAGTTGGCCCGAGTCCTGGCACTGGGGGTGCAGGCCTGCGGAGGCGTCCTACGTCTGCAGGTGTCGCAGGCTCCAGCTGCCTCTGCCCAAGGCGGGACCTCAGGAGCCGTGGGAAGGGAATGTGGGGCTCCCACCAGGAAGCTGTCCTTGCCCCCCTCCTGGGTCCCAACCCTGAGAGCTCCCTTCCAGATCTGCTCCCTCTAATTATGTTCTCATGGGGTCCCCTTCAGACAGTCCTGCAGCAGGGAACCGCAGGCAGCTCTGGGTGACCCCTGGCAGCCTATGGAGCTGCTCACCCACACTGGACTTTTTGGAAAGGCTGAGGACCCTTTCCTTGCTCAGTGAGCCATCCTACCCAAATGAACCCTACAGAGACCTTGGGTCTTGGTGATAAAAAATGACAGATGGGCAGGGAGGAAGGGCAGGTAAAAATAAAAAGAAAGAAAAAGTTGGCACAAAGATTATTTTATATGTCTGTTAGAAAGCCTGGCTTACATCCCTGAGTTTCACATCCAGACGAGCCCTGAAGGCTGACCCTGGTGAAGTTGTAGGACCAGCCCGATTCTCAGAACACCCGTGTGCAGGCTCTTCTCAAAAAGTGGATAAACGGATGCATCCTACAGTTTAGTGACCAGACGTTTCATGCCCTGAGAGAGATTTGCATTTTGAAAGCACAATGAATGGTAGTTGGAGAGCCTACAGTATGGGCAGTACTTAACCCAAAGAAGTGGATTATTTAACTTCTGGTGGGATTTTCAGGCATGGAGAGGATCTCAGTTGTTTAGGGGAGAGAGAAGTCTGTGCCCACTATGCTAACTTGCTAAACCTTTCTTTCCATAGTAAGAACATTCCTGAAAAGCAGTGTGTCGATATTATTCTTATAAACCCAATCCTACTTGAAAGACACTGACCAGACCTGCCGAAGTATGTGTAATCCTTCTCAGAAGTAAATACAGACAATAGTCAACGCTTTCTGACACTGACGACATGCCAGGCTCTGCAGTGAACATGGATCACTTACTTTCTTCCTCACACCAACCCTATAAGTAGATACTATCAGTGTCCCCATTTTACAGGTGAAGAAACTGAGGCACCAAGAGGTCAAGTAACTCTTAGGTCACACAACTAGTCAGTGGCAGCTCTAGCACTCAATCCCACTGGACTTAACATGCCCGACAGTGAACCCCAGGCTCCCCCAAAACCCTGACATGGGCTGACCACCTCCCTCTCTCTGCAGGGGCCTTGAGGTTTTCTACCCAGAGTTGGGGAATGTTGGCTGCATGTTTGTTCCTGTCTGCAACAACTATAGACAGAAGATCACCTCCTGGGCCAAGCCCATCGTCAAGTTCCCTGGGGCCATGGAGGTGAGTGAGCAGGGCCCGCCTGCTGGGGGCGAGTTGTGGGCTGAGGTTACTCAGCTAGGGGTCTTAAAGCTGCGTGCAGAGCAGTCTGGGTTGGGTCTGGTGATACCAGATGGCTGTTGCCATGAGCATGTACCCTCCTTAGAACAGCTGCATGGCCTTGGAGGAGGTTGGGCTGGGTGGGAGGGCTGCAGATGGGAGCTTTGGCCAGGCTCAAGGGCCTCTCTGCCGGGCCTTTCCCTGCCCCTGCACCCCTGAGGCCCAGAGCCTGCCTCCTCAGTCTACGTGGAGACCACCTGGTGTGTGCTTCAGAGTCGGCAGAGAAAAGGAGAAGAGAAGGCGTTGTGGGGAGCCCTTTCTCCAGTACAGGGTGGCTGGGCTTGCACAGTGATCTTCTGAGTGGGGCAGAGCTCGTTTGTAACGGGCAGCGCCTGTCACGTAGGTTAAACAAGTAGAGGTCAGTGTGTCTCGGCTCTTGGTCATCGCGATATGAAACCCACTCAAAAGTTCGCCCCAAGTTGTCTAAAATACAAGATTGAAGCATAAGAATTGGAAATAACTATTCCTTTTACTGAGGAATGATTAGTACCAAATTGTTCTGGAAGTTTCCCTTGGTCTGGGGATGTAGTAAGCCTGGGGAAGGGCCGTGGAAGTGGGAAGTGGGGCTGCTGCTGCTGCTGCCCCCAGTGGCCAGGCCACGTCCTGGGGGAGCTGCTCCAGTGTTCTGGTCACTGTTTCTTTCTTCCTTGACTCCTGGGCCATACTGAGCCCCCTAAGCATCGGGGGTGGAGGGCGACCCTCGCTCTCTGCTGTGTTTTAGTAGCAGTGGCCAGTGTCAGCCTACACACGAGGATGGTGATGTGTCCAGGACTCAGGTCACTAATGGGTGGAGACGGAAGGGTCGTGGTCAGGATGTGACCACACGCACATGGAAACCAGCCTTCTGGTCTCCTCTGTGCATTGTGACAGGGAGAGGCCACAGTGGGCTCTTCCCCTCTGTCGTTCCTGCCTAGGGGCTGTCACTACTGCCACTGGTCAGGCCTGAGGGCGATCGGCACAGGCACAGCAAGATACTGAGTTCAGAGGTGGGGGATTGCACAGGTTTCTCTTCTCTTTCTTTCTTGCACTGTTTTTCACTATCAGGAAACAAATAGACTGCGATGTGTCTCACAATTTGTGAGACTGAGGACATGGAACTTTGAGAGGCTATGGTTTCTGCAACCATGGCAAATGTCCTTTCCTCCGGGAGGCCGAGCAAGCAAGTAATGAGGAGACCTTCTGGGTCTCCTCTCCCTCAACCCTCCCAAGCCTCATGCACGTGCACACGCATCCAAGCACACACGTCAGCCCTTCTCTCTGGAGACCCTTGGCCCAGGTCACACGCATGGACAGGTGGGAGGAGCAGAGAAAGTATGGGTCACTGTGATTCTAACTCTTGGGACAGGAGGTGGAGGGCCGCAGAAGCAGGGCAGGAACGCAGTCCGTAGGGAAGAGTACATGCCGCCCTATGGGACGAGACTCTTGACTTCACCATTAATTCACTCGTCCTTGGGTTTGTCACATATGGAGTGAGGAGGTTGGACCAGATGCTCTCACAGCCCAGTGGCTGTCCCAAGACGGATTCTCAGCCAAGGGCTCCGTCCCACGTGAAATTGTAGCACATGTCCACTAGATGGCAGTGTAGACTTCTGTGAGTACCTGGTGTCCTTGGAGGGGACAAGTTAGAAGGAAGTTTGACAAGTCTTTGCATTTGATTCAGTTTAGTTGATAATGATTGTCCTGGGGTATGGACACGTAACGCAGAACAGATATCACCCCCTCCAGACCCTGAAATCTCCCATCCTGTCTGAGCCGAGAGGTGGGGTGGGGAGAAAACCTGGAGACTCGTGAAGGACACAGAGCTGTGGCCAAGAAAGCCAAGGAGGGTAGAGATTTTGCAAAGTAAGATTTGGTCACAGTGGTGGAAAGAAAGAAAGAAAAAGTAGTATTCTGCTACTATAGAACTAGTTTATGGAAATTTGACCTCTGAGAAGACAGATTCAGTTACAATTATCAAAAGCCACCATTCATCGGGTGATACCCACTTAACGCTTGACTTTATGCTCAGTAGTATTCATGTGTCATTTTATTTAATGCTCTCATCAAGTCCCCAAGTTAAGTATTTCTTTAGTCAAAACTGTTGTGGAAGTGACAAGAGGCAACTCAAACTGACTCGTGCTGAAAAAGAGGGAAGGCATTATTGGTTCACAAACTGAAAACTGCAGGAGTATCTTCAGGCATGGCTGGATCCAGGTGCTCACACAATGTCACCCGGAATCTAGCTATCTGCCCCTTTTCTCTACCTTTTCCAATGCTGATTTTATGTGTAAATAGACCCCTTTGGGTGACAAAGAGACCCCATCAGCTTCAGATTTATGTTTTACTAGTTTATCAATCCCAGTGGGAATAGATTGACCCTTTCCAACCATTAAAAGTCCCAAGATTTGTCCTGCTTGGATCACATGCCCATCCCTGAACCAAACAGTGGCCCTGGGCAGCCCCACTTAATCTACAAGAGCAGAAAGCAGCAGAGGGTGGTTCCCCTAAAGGAGACTCAAGGTGCTGGTTACCAGAGGGGGAAAGAATGTTGGGTAGGAAAAGCAGGGGAAGGTCCTCTGGAAGGAAGTAATCAGACCAAGCGCAGGGCTGGAAAGTGGCGGGGCCAGGGTTTAAACCCCGGTCGGTCAACTCCAAAGGCTTGACCCCTGGACCACTGGCAAGGGCTCTCCGCGGGACCTGGGGTGCTGGCACGGCTTGGGAGGCCTTGCTGAGGGCAGGCTCTCCGAGGACACGAAGCACAGTGGGTGCTCAGGCAGGTGGTTGCAAAGAGGTGAAGACAGGCTGGGGCGGTGAGAAATGAGGGGGTGGCCAGAGCTTCCCTTGAGGGCTAAGAGGAACAAACCCCTGTAGAGAGCAGCTGGTGAAGGCGGAGGGGAAGGGGTGCTCTCTGGAACAGGGTCCCTCAGAAGTGGGCAGGGAGCCGAATCCTGGTGACAGAGAAGAGGATGGAGGCGTTTCCTCTGGGCCCAGGGCCTGACGGAAAAGGACAAGAGGTTGGTAACTGGCTCTGTGGGGACAGCACCTTGCTTCAAAAGCAATTAGAGGGATGCCACCAAAGCAGCATTGCCAGTGGACATACCCAGGGAAGCCCCCCACACAAGCCCCATGGCTCTGGAAGGAGGGGGCAGTGGGCGTGGGGCAGTGCCTCCTGCCCACCAGAGGTCTTCCTGCCTGCATGTCTTTGCTGAAGCCACTTCCCCCTATTCGGACCCTGCACTCCGGGACACCCTGCTCCCACCAAAACGTTTCCTCCTCCAAGAAGCCTTCCCTGACTGCCTCCCTCTGGGCCCCACCCCCATCCCTGGCTGATCTCTTCTTTCTCTGAGATTTTAAAATATCCCCTACCCTCCAAACCAGACATTTATTTCCTTCTGTCTTGTATTGTGGTTGCTTATTCATATCTCTCACAGCTTCAACCAATTTCTAAGCTCTGGGAGAGCAAGGCCACGTGTTGTGTTTCTCTGAACCACCCATAGCCCCTAGCAACATTGCAGACCCTATGTTGGCTGTCTGGGCGACTGGGTGGATGAATGAATGAATGAATGAATGGCAGGTGGAAGGACGCCCCTGGAGTGTGAGCTATGAGATGGGTGAGCCCAGCGGTTTGCCCTTTAAGCTGCTGAGTGTCTTGGGTCATCTGAAGGAAAGGTGCGGAGCTTAGTGGGCCCCAGGCCAGCGCTAGTCTCTCCTCCACCCAGGCTGGTGGGTGTGAGCTGGAGGGGGGCAGGGGGAAGCAGAGAGATCAAGAGAAAGCCAGGTGGGCTCCCGGAAGGCAAAGTAGTGCAGGAGAATATGGGCGGTCCCTGTGCCAGCAGCCCGGAGAGCTGGGAGAGGCATTGAAGTTAGAGGAAGCTTTCTCCCCTGCCGCTTTGACAAACACAAAGAGGCAAACGTCTTAAAATGCATCCCTGCTCAAACCAATGAAAGCTGCAAGGCCCCCGAGAAGCCTCTTGACTGTGGCTCCTCCTTCACCTTCAGTTTAGCCAACCGGGACCCTTTCGAAGTGGAGAGACTGCCTTTAAATGGGGAGTGTGCGTTGCACCAGAGGGAAGGATCAAGACTGCAGCATTCTGTCCTGCTGGCCCTCGGCTTTCTCGTCAGGCTCAGCTCCTGCCCTGTTTCTCCTCCCTAGAAAGCAGGGGACCTGAGTGTTCTCCTACCAGGCTGGGTAGGCATGTCCCCATGCCACCCCGGGCCTGCAGCGTCTGTGTTGCTGCCTTCTGGGGCCGCCTCCTTGCCCTCATCAGCCCAAGGGTGGAGACACAAGTTTCGACACAAATTTTATAGAGGCCGGGAGATCTGGGGACAACACGTGAGGTCGAGTCACAGACTCTCCTCGCTGACCGAGACCTAGGAGCTCACCAGCCCAACTCCCATCCTTCTCTCCACACACAGCACAGAAGAATGAGGGCGCTGTGGCCACAAAATGATTAGCCGAGACAGGACACAGGGCTCCAGACCCCAGGGTAATTCTGGCTGGAGCAGCCCCTGGTGGGTGGGGCAGACTCGCTCACTGGGGAAAGACGGGGTGAGAGGCAGGCACTCCCTGCCCAGGGGAGCACGTGTGCATGCGGGCGGCCAAGCGCAGGCCCACCTGCTCCGGGACGGCAGCCAGCACACGATTTGGTGTTAGGGATGCCAAGTGATTCACTTAACAAATATTTATTGAACACACAGGCACCATGTCAGTGCTGGAAATTCAAAGATAAAAGGTGCCATCACAGAGCTCCCACTCTAGGTGGGGAGACAGAGAGGTGGACGGTAAAGGTGGAGACGCAGGGTGTCAGTGGTGCTCTAAGGCCTCCAGAAGGAGGTGACCCTCAGCTGAACTGCGGAAGGTGAATAGGCAGGGCATAGATGGGGGAGCCAGGATGGGCTCAGGAAGGGGCATGGCCACATGGGGA